CCTGCTGGCCCAAGGGCGCACAGTTAGCCAAGTGCTGAGGCCGACTCCAGCCCCGTCCCTGGCCCCTAGGCTCGTTCTGTCTCTGCCCCTTCCCCACACAGGCACGTCAGGAGAGCGTTGTGACGATTTCTGTGCTGGGCAGTTGTGCGCAAAGCTTTATTCTTTGGTGGTCACTGGGGCCTGTGCACACACTGTGGGCACCAGCTCTGCCTGTCACAGCAGAGCCTGGTAGGCAGTGAGGGGCTCAGAACTGGCAGGTGAGGTGGGGAGGTGACGCTGGAGGGATCCCGCGGCTCTGCCTCTGACAGCTCAACAGAGGAGCCCGGCGGGTCACCGCCTGCCCCCGGTGCCGGCTGCACCTCTACATTCTCTGCTGTGCCTCCTGCCTGCAGCAGTGTATGGTGGTGGGCCAGGGCTTCGTGGGGGGTGGGCTTAACAAAGACCCCCTTTGCGTAGAGGCCACCCTGCCAGCCTCCAGCAGAGAGCAGCCTACTTGTCAGATGAGGGAAACCTGAGCAGAGTTGGCTGTTTAATCTGCTAGAGAGGTGAGAGCAGGCAGGGACCTTGTCTGCCTCCTTGTTTACCGGAACACTCTTAGAGGCGGGGAAGGAAGCCTCCCACACCACTGAGGGCGAGGCAAGGGCAAACCTGGGTCCCCAGGGCCGAGTCCTCTTTGGGGGACTTTCCTGGCAGTGTGGGCTTGGGCAAACCCCTTAACATCCCTGCCCCAGGCAGCTTCCTCCTTTGTAAAGCAGGAGGGTTTGCAAACACCCAGGTGAGGGCCTGAAGGGCTGTTGTGAGGCACTCCGTGTCCTTTCAGGCGAGGGCCTGCTGGGCTGTGGGTAACCGTTTATGGAGCAATGAAGATGTGTAGCACTTGGGAGAAGGCAAGGGTGGGACAGGGCCTTGGGCACATCCTTCCCACCGAGGGCACTGCCGGAGAACCAGGGCTGGGTCCTTTGAGAGGACTGAGGGCTGGTGGCTGTGGCGCCACAGGGAGACAGGAGAGATAGGGACTGTTGTAGGTGGCAGGGTGTGGGAGCCAGGAGGTGCCCAGGGGATGGAGGAGGGAGGGCAGGTGGGAAGCTGAGACTCCGCTCTGCGGACCCCCTGGCCTGGGTCCCGCCGGGCCGTCTGTGCGCTCCTGGCACTGCTCGCTCCTCTCCATATGGCAGTCGCTGGAGGTTGGTGGCTATGCCTGGGAGACCTGAGACTGCTTCCTCCGCCTTGGAAGGCGGGAGAAGGCAAAGCTGAGCGGGTAATTATAGACAGCCGTGCACCAGGCCGGCCCAAACCAGTTCCCTCTATTCCTGGGCATGGCTCAGAGCCACTGGTTGGGGAGAGCCAAGCAGAGGCAGCTTGGGGGAGGTCAGTGGGGGAGGGACAGTCAGCTGTCACATGTGCTACTACCCAGGCTCTTCAGAAGAGGCAGACCCAGTTCACTTTTCCGGACCTTGTGCAGGGGGCAAAGGGAGAAGTCGGTTTCCCCACCTCGGGGAGTTTGTAGCTTTGGTCATAGAGGCCCCGCTGAGATGAGTGGCAGGAGCCAAGGCGACTGGGGAGACACATCCTGTAGGAAACCATGCCAGTGTGCTGTGTGGGGAGACAGCTTGGGAGCGCAGTGGAGCTGGGACTTTCTTTCTGGTCACTCTCCCTGCCAGAAACCCTCCTGTTATGTTAGAGTATGGCCTTCTGGCCTCCATCCGGCCTGGGAGTCCCCGCCTGCCTCTCCAGCCCCGTTGCCCTGCACTCCCTGCACCTCAGCCGTCCTGGCCCACCTTTCTTCCTTGAACTGGCTGAGCTTGTGTCTCTCTCGGGGCCTTTGCACATGCTTTGACTGCTGTGTGGACTGCTCCTTAGTCATCACTGGGGACTAAGTTCAGATCTCACATCCCTGACCTGCCCATTCAGAGGCCCTTCCTCCCCAGGGTGCCTGGTGATTAATCACTCAGAAATTATCTTGCTGATTTCCTGTTTATTGAGAACCAGGCTCTTCTTTGTTGACTACTCTGTCAAGTGCCTGGCACATGAAAGGCACCCAGATATTTGCTCCCTGGGTGACTATGTGAACAGCTTCTCCTTAAGGATCCACCAGTGACCCATTGGGGACTCCACTTCCATCTCTAAAAGAAGAGAGTGGGACTCCAGAGATTCCCCTGTCATTGCCATGGAACGGCAGGAGGACAGGTGTAGAGGCCTGAGCAGGTGGTAATCCCTCCAGCTTTTCTGCCGCGCACGACTAGAATCATGGGCCCAGCTTAGTCTGGGATCAGAGAATTTCAGTCCAGCAGCTGACAGGCTTTGTGTTCTGGATCCACTCCATCCACTGAGCTGAAACACACCAGCTGGGGCTGGCCCTGCTCATTGTTGGTCACCAGCTTGTGCTTCTTGGCCGGACAGGCCCCTTCTCCTCCTCCAGGAGCCTGAGCTTTTTCGGAGACTCTCTGGGGCTGGATAGGACTAAATTGCACCCTCAGGGAAGGGAGGATCCATGGGGTCCTGGGATTTCAGGACCTGGGATTTCAGTCTGTGAATCAGTCTCCTTTAAGAGAACATTCCAGAGAAGACCCCCTGGGAGGTTTTGCATCCTGGCCCTGAAGGAGCTCTCTGATCTCTTCTGCCAGAAACTTGTGGAAGTGCCACCTCTCCAAGGTCAGGAGTGGTTTCTAAGGAAGTCACTTAAAACGGTCCACAGGTTCATGTTGCGCCAGCCAGCGTGAGGGCTGAGAAGTGGGGAGCGCATTGCTCAGGGACACTTCCTGGGGACAGCAGCAGGTGAGAGCGACTGTCAGCACAGCCCCAGAAGGCAGAGGGTAGACTGTTCATCTAAAGAAGAACCTTATTGGTGTGATTTGCATTCAGGAGGCCAGGGCGCCAGTCTCAGCCCGTCCCCCCTCAGCTGGCCCTGGAGGGATTGGCCAATTGAAGTCACCTGACCTAGGGCAGGTCACTGCTGGCTGCTTTCCAAGACAGCTAGGTCTAGGTCAGCTTTTCCCTTCCGAACTCATCTGACCATCTGAATCATCTGGGACCATTATTAAAATTCCTGATTCTAGCTCTAGCCGGGCGGCTCAGTTGGTTGGAGCATTGTCCTGTACGCCAAAGGGTGGCAGGTGTGATCCCTGGTCTAGGCAACAGGAGGCAGCCCATCGATGTCTCCCTCCCTCCTTTTCTCATCCCTCCCTCTTTTTTCCCCTCTCCCTCCTGCTCTCCGCCCCTCTCGGAAATCAATAAACATACCTCAGATGAGGATTTTTTTTAAATCCTGAGTCTAGGCCCCACCCAAACCACCCTCCAGGGAGGGTGGCTGTGGGCTCTGATTTAAATATTGTAAGGAGTCCCCCACGGGATTCAAAATGACGGGCGAGGTGGACCAAGGACACAAGCAGCGCAGTGAAGACGTGCTCCGAACGCAGCCCCCGAGTCACAGTAGGGGCCCTCGCCAGCTGGCCGCTGTGGCGCGTTTCAGGACCGTTGGACACAGAAGTGAGGGCTGGCACAATGAAAATGATTTGTGTGTCTTTTAATTGGGAAGTAACCCCTTCTCTCTTCCTTCAAAACAAAACATTGCTTGATGTCAGTGAAAAGAGTATCCGGACTCCATGTGGGGGACTCCGGAGTATGTGGGTTTTATCTTACTGATTTTTGTGAGCAATGAGGGTTGGAGCAGCTGACACAGACCGCAGACCTCACGGACTGAGCTTGGCGGGGTCATTGGAGAGGGAATGATTGCCACCGGTGGGCGAGGCGCTACCGAAGGGCCCCGATTCCGGGGGAGGGTCACACGCACTGCCTGGACGCCAGGGCTTCGGGCAAAGCTGTCCCTGCAGGGCGCTCTTTATTTTTTTAAGAAATATCCTCCTTTGTATCTCCCCGGTCCCTACTGTTATGCAGGAAGTTTTCTGAGGGTAGTTTTGCCATTTTAAATAATGCTGTGCCGAACATCCTTGTAGCTTCTCTGATTAGTTCCTTAGGATAAATTGCTAGAAGTGTAGTTCATTGCTGGATCATAAGACCCAATATAAATCCTGATATTTAAAGTACATATATATATTTATTTTCTTGAATAGATAAAATATGCAGGTGATGAAAAAGAATTCAGGCAGCCCTGGCTGGTGTGGCTCAGTGGATTGAGTGCCGGCCAGCAAACCGAAAGGTCGCTGGTTCAATCCCCAGTCAGGGCACATGGCTGGGTTGCGGGCCAGGACCCCAGTTGGGGACGTGCAAGAGACAACTGATCGATGTATCTCTCACACGTCTGATCTCTCCCACGCTTTCTCCGTCCTTTCTCCCTCTCTAAAACTAAATAAATCTTTTTTTTTAAATTCAGACAGTACAAATGAAGGGTGTCGGTCTGTCTCTCACGCCCACCCCCAGTTCTGCAGACCCTGCCTTAGAGAAAAATGCTGCAACTAGTTTTTGCTGTATTTTTCCAGAAATATTCTATTTATATAAACATATATGTTTCTCTTCTCATCTTTTTTTGTTTTCACACATACGGGAACTTTTCCTATACACATTTTAAATAGCATGTCTCTGTGTGTTTTTGTTACAATATTTGCGCCTGGTCCTGACTTGGTAGTGACACACTGAGGGTGGAGAGGGCTTCACTGAACAACTGCAGCCACTGGGGAGAGGACGCAGCGTCCAAAGCCAGACTCTTCCCCCAGGAAGCTTTGCAGGCTCTTGGGGAAGGGCACTTGCGGGGGGCCTGGAAGCAGCCTAGGCCGGAAGTGGAAATGGAAGCAGCTGGCAGAGGCTGTCGCAGTCTGTGGGGAGGTCAGGAGGGCCCAGGCAGCCTTTGAGTGAGGGGGTGGGAGCCGCAGACTCTCTCCTGAGTCCGCAGCGGAGGCCCGGGCTGCAGCTGGCCTCGGGAAGCCGGCTGCCCAGGGGAGTCGTGGGGGTGGATGCAGGGCCGTCTCCACTGTCTCAGCTACTTCCTCTTGATACCAGACTGGATGTTCTTCTTACCCTTTATTCCTTTTCCTTTTTCCCCCCAGAGGCTCATCGAAAATAGAGGAGGCCTGCGAAATCTACGCCAGAGCAGCAAACATGTTCAAAATGGCCAAAAACTGGAGTGGTACGTGACCTCTGCTGGAGCTCCTCTGTGCTCCTTTCCGTTTTCCCTCAGTGTTCAGCCCGCGAGGCCTGGCTGGGAGGGTGGCCTCGCCGCTCCCCCTCTTTTTTGGCTTCTCCAGCGTCACAAGCCCAGGGGCCTGGGGGCCTGCTGTCTGGTCCTTAGAGCCCTCTGGGCCTTGGAGGGGGGACAGAGGGATGAGGATAAATAGATTAGTGAGTCCAGGTAGACCCTCGTGGTTGACGAGGCCTTCAAGGGGTTTCTCCTTAGATTCAGAATTTCAGGTTTCCCTGGGAACTGTTCCAGGTGGCTTCTGTCATTCTGAGTTCTGGGCTGGGGGACGTTCGGGTGGCTCCAACAGCATCGGTCACGGTCACCGTGGACTGGGCACTGTACTGGGCGCCACGCAGCATGCATTATTTAACTGACGTCTCACAGCAGCCCTGCGAGCGTCGGTGCCATTCATTAGTTCCCCATTTTATAGATTCGGCAACTGAGGCTGGTCTCAGCCCCCTGCCCAAGGGGCCACAACTAGTAAGTGACGGAACGGAAGTCAGAAGCCAGCACTCTGACTGCAGGGCCTGGGTGTTTAACCTGTCCCTGTGTCGCTTTATGACCTTTGGAGCAGAGTGACGTGGATTTGTGTCACAGCCCAGACTGGCCTTGTGACCCCAAGGAAGTTCGTTGGCCTCTCCTCATCTGTGTCCTCCTCAGTCCCACAACAGGAAGATAGTCGACACTGCGTGGGGCCGTAGTGTGGGTTTACAGAGATTAGGCCTTGCCGCCGCCAAGGGCCGTCACTCGGTGAATGCGGTGGCACAGTCGCATATCATGCTGAAAGAGCCTCCACCCGGGAGAGGCCCCCCTAGGTCATGCACCTCTGGGACACTCACAACCTGTGTTGGTGGGCGGGGTGTCATCCTAGTCTTGGCTCTTCCAACTTGGCCCCGAGCTGTGGTCAGAATCCCCAAGGCTGGAGCTCGGTTGGCTGCCGGGAGAGGCCAGCGGCAGGGAGGGGCTCCTCCGTTAGGGAGCCGCCTGAGGGCCTGCAGCAGAGGTTTGAAAAGCCAGCGCAGGAGGCCGTTGGGGGTGGCTGACTGTGTACTATGACTTAAAGTCTCGGCAGAGTTGCCTCGGGGAGTCGAGCGAAGACGGGGTTTGGAGACCAAAGAGGAACTTGCTGACCAAGAGGGAGACGAAACCTGGGATGGGCCGTGGAGGCGGGCTGCAGAGGCACCGGGTGAAATCGATTACTGTCGTTAAGAATGGTTGAGCTTCCACAAAACAGATTGTGTGCAAAGCCAGGGGCTATCTGAATTTTTATGCTCCTGAGCTCCTAAAATGCCTTAAAAGAAAGAATACTTATTTTTTAATTACATAGATGTTGCTTTGCCCCTAAAATTTGTAAACCCCCCCCCCCCAACTATTCAAACAAAATTTCTAGGTCAATTTTTTTAACCCAATCATGTTAACTTTTATGGAAATTTTGCACTCAAGTTTCTAGCCCTTAAAAGTAATAGAGAAGTCATACGTCGTGAAAACCTGGGTGACTTTGTCCCGCTCCTCCAAAGTTACAGGACAGGGGCCAGGGCCCCTTGTCCTCTTCCAGCTCAGAAACTGTGTGTTCTGGACCAGGCCGGAGGAGAAGGAAGGGAGGCAGCCTCAGAACTGAGCTGGAGGTGGCTGTGAGGCCCTGGTTAGCTCGGTGGCCCCGCTGGAGGAGGAAAGATCCGTTTGTCTCCTGCAAGTGAGGTTAGGAGATGAGACACACACACACACGCAATGGCTTGGGACTCATGGAAGGTGACAGTGTGCAGCTGAGTACGGGACAGATTGGGCTTCAGGTGCGTGGTCTTAACCGTCCCCTGGCCCACAGGCACTTGTCCCTGTGCTCTCAGATCTCGGTGTCCACGTCCTCTTTCTAGATGTGAAGCTCCTGGAAGGGAGCAGACAGACCCTGTAGGTCCCCTACAGCCCCTCTGCCACGTACCCCACGATAAGTGCGGTGACTTGCCCACACAACCCGCAGCGACTCTACACAAGGGACTAGAATGTGGACAAAGGCAGAGGAGTTGGGGAGTTAGGAAGAGCTGGGAGTCGTGGGGGAAGGAAATCGGACTCAGAAGGGGGCTCCGAGTCCACTGTCACCCTGTGTGCAGTAAACTGGGGAGTGTTTCGGAGCAGAATCTCGATTGCCGGCTTCTTCCCCACCACCCCCTCCTGGCCCGATCCCACGCTGCAGCGCCTCGGGTTCCTAGCCCTGGGCGTCCAGGCTCCCCCGGGGGCACCGCTGGGGTCTGGAGGCCTGCCGTCTAGGTTCCTCCAGGCCGCCCTCGTCCTTCCTTTGGGACGCTCTGTATTCCCGAGAGCGCCCAGGGCCGCGTCTGTGTGGCTCACAAAGCGTGGCGCCCCACTCACGCCACGGTCACTTTTTCCTGTTCCAGCTGCTGGAAATGCTTTCTGCCAGGCGGCCCAGCTGCATCTGCAGCTCCAGAGCAAGCACGACGCGGCCACCTGCTTTGTGGATGCCGGCAACGCGTTCAAGAAAGCTGACCCCCAAGGTGAGGAGGGCCGCGGGCCGCGGGGGCCGGCTGCCCGGAGCGCCAGCTGAGCGCTCACAGAGCAGTTCTCGGGTTGCCGCCGGGCTCTGGTTTTCTCCAGTGGCCGGCAGGCGATCGGCTGTCAGGGAGGTACTTGGCGTTTTAATTTCAGAACTGGCTCCCTTCCGGCTGGCATTTGCGTCCGGCTCCAAGCCTCCTCCTCCCCCTTCTACTGTGTGTGCAGCTGATAGCTCCTCTCCCGAAGCCTGGGAGCAGTTGGGAGTGGGAGTTCCATTTCAGCCCTGCCGCATGCCAGGGGAGGGGAAAATCTGTTCTGTTGTCAGAATTAACAGGCAGAGGGGGTGGGAGGGCTTTTAAGACCAGCCAGGTAGGAGTCCCTGCCGGAAAAGGAGAGGAAGTTGTCCTAACCTGGCTCCCCTGCCCTGGGGGTGGAGGCCTGGAATGGGAGAGCGGAGCCTGAGAAGCAGTTACCAGAGAACAAGTTTCTTCAGATGAGAGGATGTTGGGGACAGAAGCCCGCGTTGGGTGTACCCAGTGAGAAAACCATTTTGTCCCGCTGGGCTCATCTGGAACCAGGAGCCCAATAGGTACCAGAATTCCCATTTTACGGAGCTTGAATTTTAATTTACTTTTTAAATCTTGGTGCCAGACATTGGTTGCTAACTTGTAATTTTAGCAGGCAAAGGCTTATGACCATCTATCGTCTCTTTCCTCTCTTACGAGACTGGGAAAGACATGAAATATTTTTAAAGGAGATGCATAATCTTGGAATAAAGGCCTGTACTTCCAGGAGGGGACAGTGGGGGGCGGTCCACAGAGGTGTCTGCGAGGGTCGGTGAACAGTGGTTCACACGCCGGCACTGGGGGTTGCTGGCGGGTCATTATTGCTCTCAGGGACATTTAATTCCCCGAATTTGATATCTGCGTAGACCGAGTACCTTTTCTCTGTCCCCAGACTTGACCAGTTGCTCCTCTGCCACCGGGTGCCTCACAGATGTGGGCCTGAGGGGTCACGTGGTAGGCTCAGGCCCAGCAAGAACCTGAGGGGAGGCCTCGTGACTGGGCGGGTCATTGTCACCCGCTGTGCAAAGCTGAGAGCTGAGCCACAGCCTGCTGTGTGGGTGAGGGGACGATGACCCAGGCCGTCCTGGGTTTCTTTTTCCAGCTGGAATCACCTGAGGGAGTTGTGTGCCCCCCCACGGAGTGCCTCCCCCACCCCAGCCTGCCCTCTGCTCCCTGGGGACCTGGTTGACCTGCAGATGCTGCCCTAGCATCTGGGATGCTCAGCTGCCGCTCCCGAGTTACTGGAAGGACTTGTTCCTGGGGCGGGAGAAGAGGGCCAGGCCGCGTGACATGTGCCCAGCGCCAGCTGCTCTTTCAACAACCCCAGTGCTCCCCGTGGGCAGGCCCCACCTGGCACTGTGATGTCATGTCCTTCCCTGGCGTTTGGTCTGAATTTTCTCATCTCAGCGGGCCCTGCAGGGTGTGTGTGGGGTGTGGCCCCGGGGCCTGGCCTTGGGGAGCTCGGAGGGTGGCAGAGTCCACGGAGAGAGGAGAAGGCAGCCGTGGTTAGGTGTGGTGCCGGCGCCCTCGCGGGGCACTGCATCCGACTTAGTGTCTCCAGGGGTCACCGAGCATGGTTCGCTGCCCTGGAGCTCAGGCGGGTGTGGGTGGGGTTTTGGTTTTTTGGGGGGGGGCAAAGGGGGGCCGTGGAGCAGAGAACAACCTAACTGGGCAGAGCCGGGGCCCCGAGAGGCGTCCCAGCACCACTGCCCCATGCCTGCCGACCGGTCACTCTGGGCCAGCAGCTCTGCGTTGGGGGCCATTTCAGCCGGGGTCAGGAGAGAGGGCACGTTTGCACCAGGGGTGACAACGGCTTTGTGTCCGGGGCCCGTCCCACTTCACAGAGGCCTGTGGCAGCTGTGTGGGGCTCAGTGTGGTCCTGGAGGATCGGGCGGAGCCTGCTGTCAGTGACCCCGTCACTTACTCTGTGGGATCTGCATTTCCTGGTCTGGCAAAGCAGAGATCACACAGGAGACCAGCTGCCGATGTGCTCAGGGTGGCACCTGGCACGGGATAAAAGTCCCGTGGGGGACAGCCCTCGGCTTGCATCCGGAGGGCCTGGCCTGGGCTCCCAGGCTCTGCCCCTTGGCTCCGTGCCTTGAGAAACAGCGGGAGGTCCGGCTGGGAACCTGGCCCACTTTTCCCGAGCAGGTGACCAGCTCCCTGGGGCCCTGCTGACCCCCTCGTCTGCCTCAAAGGCCTCTGCCCTTTATCAGCACTTCCCGCGGGAGCCCGGGAGGGCCCTTCTCTCCAGAGGCAGCCGGTGCCACCCTGAGCCTGAGGCCTGCCTGAGGTCTGCCAGAGCGGAAGGGAAGGCTCTGGTTCCTGTCATCACGCTCTCCCTCTGCGGCGTCTGCCCTCAGTGTGGGTCCGGGGGTGGCCTGCTGCCACCTGGGGGGTTGGGGGTGGGGAGGCGATGCCCATAGCTGTCAGCGGTTTCACAGTTTCCCAGCCATTGTTGGACTCCGGCCAGGGAGGCCTCTTACCCCGCCCTCCTGACAGCTGGGCCCAGGGCGGCATGTGTCCTCAAGCGCGTGCACCCAGGACACAGAGGTGGCCAGGCCCCCACTGCCCCCCACCTCGTACCCCGTGCCCCGCTGCCATTTACCAGATGCCTGCAGGGTACCAGTCCCTGGCATCTTCTTTCCATCCGTCCCACTTCCTGTGGTATTCTGGGATTCGCCCGGTTTCCTGGGGAGACTGGCCCAGTTGGGGGTGGGCTGCAGGAGCGGGGTGGAAGGCAGGGTGGGCGGGAGGCGCCCAGGGCCCAGGCGGAGGCCCTGGGTCACAGACTCCCTGACTCCCTGCGCCAGGGCTCCCGTCTCCGGGCCTCAGCCCCCTCCCGCCATCCTGGACTGGATCGTTCCCAGAGTCCCTTTCCAGCTCCACGTTCTGTGGATGGGTGGGAGGCGGGTTTGCTTTGCTTTATGAGGGGCGCGCCAGCCCCTCGTCCTGGGGGTCCTCGCGACCTGGTAAGATAGGCTGGTTGTAGCCAGGGTGTCAGGGGCTTGCCCGCCTGCGCTCTTGCCAGGGGGTCAGCCGGCGGCCTGCCGCTTTCAGGTACAGCCGGCCTGGAGCGAAGAGCTGGCATGGCGGGGATTGAACCCCGTGAGCCGGTGTTGTTGCCCAGGGGGGTGGCGGGGGCAGAGCCTCCCCTGCTGCTCGGCGAGGGCGCCTTGCCGACAGGGCTCCAGGGCCATTGCCAGCAGGCCCGGGTGGCAGCTGCGGGGAGCCTGTCGTGCCAGAGGAGCTTCCAGCCCCTCCCCCTCCTGGCTGCTAATCTCGCTGGGAGCAGCCTTGTCACCGCTGCCTGCAGATGCTGGGCTGGACTGGAGAGGGCGTGGGCGAGGGAGCCGCTAAGGTGCCTGCTGGTCACAGGCACCCCTGGGGTGGAGGCGGGAGCGGGGTCGGGACGTGCAGACCCTGCAGCCCTGCTGCTTTGGGCTCCTCCTCATCCTCTTGATGGTGTTGCAACCAGTTGCTAGCTTATCAGTTACTTCCAGAAATGCTGTTACAAAGTGTGTGTGTTAAAGTCACACTTAGTGTCTCCAGCTGTCATTTTTTGTTACGTTCCCTCCCTGTCGTACTCTGCCCCCTTTTTGCCTCCTTTTTCTCTTCCCTGCTGCCTCGGGCTCCCAGCCGTCAGCCTCAGAACCTCAGCCGAGGGGTGTATTTTCTCTGAATCCTTTCGGGATCCCCAGAGGCCTTTCCGATTTGGACAGAACCTCTAGGCCCCCTCACTCCCAGAGCTGTGCTCACAGAGACACAGCCCACATCTAAGTGAAGGGGGCCCGGTGGGCTCCCTGAAAGCCCAGCCCAGAGCTAGGAGCCATGTCCAGATTCAGCCCTCTCCCTGTGTAGCGAGGCCACGAGCCCCTCGGGGGAGCGGGCACCAGGCCTTCGACACGGTAGCGCCTGAGCCCTGTGGAAACCCCGGGAGCAGACCGGGAGCCTTCCGAATGCCCTGGACTGCAGGATGGACTGCCGGCCTCGGCGCAGCTCGGACCCTCATCCTGGTCCTGTCCAGGCTGGCTGTCCTTCCCCTCCCCCTCCCTGCACTCCCTTTCCTCCTGAGATGCATTAAAACGGTGTTAAAAAAAATCCACCCGAAAGCTCATCTCTCTCTGCTAGAAAATGCCTCCCACTCATGCTTCTCTCTCCTCCAAATAACTTGTCAAAAGAAAAAAGCCATTCCCAAATTTAAAGTCTTGCAAGAGATAGTACAACAAAGGTAGCCCGGTTCCCCCCGTCCAGAGCCACCCGCGTGTGTCTGTTCCGTGGGCAGGCCTGTGGCTTGGGGGGCTGGTGCGCATCGGTGCCAGGCCAAGGGGGGCGCGGGGGGCTCTGCTGAACGCTGAGGTGGGGGCAAGAGGACAGTGGGGATTCCGGCTGGAGGGGCCTCAGTGGCATAGCACCCAGCCTCCCGCCGTAGATGGAGGCCAGACGGGCAGGGGACGTGGCTGATTCAGGGTTCCCTAGTGGAAGGGCGGCAGAGCCCAGGAACCTGGGTGTCCCACAGCGCCCCGCCTTCCCCTTTGCCAGCAGCTCTGTCCTTGAGGGTAAAGCTTGGAAGATCTGGCTCCAAACACCCATGGGAACCTGGCCATGAGCCTCGCCTGGCACCGGCTGCATCCTGTCCCCGGGGTTACTGGGAAGGAGGCGGCTCTGTGGCAGCTCCAGGGAGAGGGCAGCCTCGTCAGCCAGGCTCCCCTCTGAAGCACGTGCCCAATAAGCTAGTCTGAAGGATACATTAGTCTGACTGGTTTCCTGGGCTCAAGGATTCCTTCGCCTTCCCTCCCGACCCCCTCCCCAGAGAGCGTAGCCCTGGCAACTCTATTGATCTCCCCACAGACGCCTTCGGCCCTGCGTCCCCCTCTCCCGGCTCCTGCTGAAATGACTTCACTCTCTCATGTCTTCTCCCCCCTCCCATTTTCTCTCCCCAGAGGCCATTAACTGTCTGATGAGAGCAATCGAGATCTATACAGACATGGTAAGGGTCGCCGCATGTCCGGTCCCCGCTCCTGGGCCACCAGATTGCCCCAGCCTCGCCTCCCACCCCATCTCCAGCGCCAGGGGCGGGCGGGGAGCTGGAGCTGGCCACTTGGTCACTTGCACTGGGCTGGCTGTCTGGGTCCTCACCCAGCTCCCCACCAGCCTGGCCCCTGCCAGGAGCTCCTAGCAGGTCACAGAGCCCCGCCCCCCGCCCCCGGCCCTGTCCCTAGCCTTCCCACCGGCCAGCGGTGTCTTCATTTGTAGAAGTTGAGGTTTCTGGGGGCGTGTGTCCTTTGCCCCATGCCCCGCCTTCCCTGTCAGCATCCTGCTTGGTTGTTAGCTCGCAGCAGGCCGCGGGCGTGCACGGGGTGGGCACAGCCCCAGCCCTGCTCCGGGGGGCACCCCAACAACAGCTGAGGCCCGGGGAGGCCGCTGCCAGCCCAAGGCCGGGGGCCGGGACGTGGGCAAAACCAGGCTCAGGCTGCTGTGAACTCTGCTTTTTGCCTCTTCACACTTCACCTCTGTCTCGTCAGACCCCCTCCCGACCCCCCAGGCAGGAAGAGAGAGGGTCCTGCCCCGCCGGGTCTGAGACGATGCTGTAGTGTTACAGTTACAGCAGTGACCGCAGCTGCCATTTATTGACCCAGACACTCAGCCAAGTGGCTTCATCCTCCTCCAACAGCCCTGTGAGGTGGGCACTGTTGTTAGTCCGTCTGACAGTCAGGAGAGGGGGGCCCACGTGAGCGACGCGGTTTTCGCGGGGACACACACCTGCAAACAGGATTCGCTGGGACCCAGAACCGGGCCTGGGAGAGTTGAGGGCGTGGCCCTCTCCTGCTGCCCTCAGCACGGGGTGCAGAGCAGCCGCCGGCCCCCGGGGCCCCCTGGGCGGAGGCAGACAGGGGGCGTTCAGCCCCCCTGGGGGAGCTGGGGGCCTCCTTGAGGAAAGCTCTGGTCCTCCACAGGGGCAGGGGTGAGGGGGTTGGCTTGTGAGAAGGGCCGCCTCGTTGGCCACACTGGGCGAGGGGTGGCCGAGGCGGCCTTGGGCCATGGGGACATTTGGGCCCCAGTTTCTCCAGAGCTTTTACCAGGTGGCCCTAGGCTGGTCCTACCATGGCCTCTCATGCCCACCTATCAAAAGCTTCTTCAGGCCAGGTACTGCTGCCCGCATTGGTCTGGTGCTACCCCGTCCCCCTGTGCACCCCTGAACAGGATGGCAGCGGAGGCTGGACGTGGGGTGTCTCGCCCAAGGTCACCCAGTCAGGGCGGCACTCAGGCCCGGGCCTGTCTCCCTAGAGCCTCCCTTATAAAGCCCCGTGCCCTCCGCCCCTTGGCACCCTCACAGGTGCGGCTGCGCGGCGGGGAGCCACAGCTCTGGGCCAGGGTGGGCGTGGTGCAGCTGGTGTGGGGCACTGGTCACCGACACTCCCTTCCCGTGTCCCACGCAGGGCCGATTCACGATCGCGGCCAAGCACCACATCTCCATCGCGGAGATCTACGAGACGGAGATGGTGGACATCGAGAAGGTGAGGGCGGCGCCTGGCGACGGCAGGGAGGGGGCTGCCGCAGCCAGTCCCCTGGGACCAGGACTCCTCTCGCTGCCCTGTCACTCGGGAGTCCTGCAGGGTCAGCGCGCAGGGAGAGGGGATGGGGCACCGGCAGAACTGGGAGGAAGGGCTCTGGCTGGGCCCCAGGCGGGTCTGGGGCTGCCGGTGGTGAGGCTGCAGCGGCGCCTCGTCGCCCCCTCCTTCCCCCTGTCTCCCCAGGCCATCGCCCACTACGAGCAGTCGGCAGACTACTACAAGGGCGAGGAGTCCAACAGGTACCCCGGGGGGGCCCTCCACTCCTCCCCCCCCACCAAGTGCCCTTGTGAGCAGCCCCCGCCCACCTCGCCCTCCTCTCTCCGCCCCACACAGCTCAGCCAACAAGTGTCTCCTGAAGGTGGCCGGTTACGCCGCGCAGCTGGAGCAGTATCAGAAGGCCATTGACATCTACGAGCAGGTGGGGACACTGGGGCTCTAGCCCAGCTCTCTGCAGAGGGCACCGCACCCCCTCCTGTGTGCTGCCGCCCCCTCCCCCATCCATCCCCCTCTCTTGCCCCTCCCTCCCTTTCCACTTCCCTGTCGTCCCCGGGCGTAACCCTGGACTCTGCCTGGCTGACCGTTTTCTCCTGCCACGACCCTGTGCGGCGTCACTGCTGCCTCCCCAGCCTGGCCCAGCCCACAGGCCTCATGGGGAGCTTCGTGGCTGACCCCAGAGTGACTGACTCTGGACAACCAGAGCCGGGGAGGGAATGGGAAGAACTGCCGAAGCCTGGGGTAGCCAGAAGCAGCTGAAGACCCCAGAGGAAGGGGGTCGGGGACACAGGACGCCTCCCAGGCGGGAGGTAGGGAGAGGGCCAGGGCTTCACAGGCTCCTGCCTGCTGCGTGGGGAGGACAGGCTGGGGCAGCCCTGGCTGTGCCGGTGGGTTTGGCCTGGCCAGGAGGGAGGCGGCAGCTGCCGCTCTGGGCCCCTGCAGCCTGCCGCCCCTCTGCCTCCGACGTGCCAGCCTCTGGTCGGCCTGACAGCGGCCTGGCTGCCTCCTCCTCTCACCATTGTGGGTGCCCTGGGAGGCCCACCGGCACCTGGCCCTGGGACAGCGCCCTTCCCCCCCGCCTGTCCTGTTCCTTGGTTACTCACGTGCCCATTACCGACTTCTGGGGTTTGTCCATGGGCTGCTTGTCCTTGGGGTCCCGGGTTAGCAGGTCTTCACTGGGGTGCGTGGACACTGCCTCCAGCTGGCCCCCAAGCGCCTGGCGGTGACTCCGGCCCCCAGGCTGCCTGGCACGAGCTTACAGTGTAGCCTCTATGCACCCATAGGTGGGGACCAATGCGATGGACAGTCCCCTCCTCAAGTACAGCGCCAAGGACTACTTCTTCAAAGCGGCCCTCTGCCACTTCTGTATCGACATGCTCAATGCCAAGGTGAGCCCACCCAGAGCTTACCCCACCCGCCAGGTGGCCGCCCCTGGGCCATGAGGGCCACTGACACTGGACCAAGGCCCCTCGCATCCCTGAGAAGGGGTGAGCCCCTCACTAGTGTCTGGAGCCTGACAGGCGGCCTTGGGCAAGAACCACTTGTTCTCACCGCTGCGTTCCTGTCCCTGGGTCCCCTGCCCAGCCCCTTCAGGGTTGGGTTTTCCAGTTCCTGGCCCACTGGTGCCAGGCCTGCTCTCCCGTGACAGCACGTTTTGAATCCTTGCTGCTCCCCACGAGGGCGGCATCACTGCCCCCTGTTTTACAGGTGAAGACACAGGTTGAGACCAGAGTCCCTTGTCCAAGGCCGTGTACTTAGTAAAGGCAGCCCAGACCCAGACTTTCCCGGCTCCTGGGGTGGCGATTTGCACCAGAGCCCTCATGCCCGCCCGCCCGCCTGTCCTCGGGGCCTCCGGGCCAGCGAATCCGTGCGGGCGAGGGGCAGGGAGTGGCCAGGGCCAGGGGCCGGCCTCAGGGGTTCCTTGGGGGTTTCTAGCCACGCTCTCCTCCTCGCACATCCGGGCCCGTCCCCTTCCTGCTCCTACCCCGGCAGGGTGGATAAGAGCAGCCGGTTCAGATCCCTGCCCGCTTCTTACCCTGTACCCTGAGCAAGTCACGGCCCGCTCTGGATGTTTCCCCGCTTTCAAAATGGGGGTCACCATCATGTGACCCTCTCTGGGTCCTCATGGTGGTTAAAGGTGATCACCAGGCCTGGCATGTGAGAGGCCCTCAGGCAGTTGTCATGTGTGCTGTCCCCTGGGCGAGCCAGGTTCGGGGCAGAGCCCTGGGCGCTGGCCCGGGAACCCCCCGCTACCGTCCCCCACCAGCTGTCTCTGCAGCCAGGCTGGCGCTGAGCTCAGTTCCATGGAGGTGCCGCTACGCCCAGAGCCAGGCGAGGTGGAGGCTGGGGGAGGGGCACAGAGCCAGCTCAGGGTCCAAGCTGTCCCCAGGTCCCCTTGGCTGTTGGGCCAGCGGCTCCAACAGCCACTCTCTACGAGCTTGCCCCCTTCCTTCCACTCTCAATGCTCAGCTTGCTGTCCAGAAGTATGAGGAGCTGTTCCCCGCCTTCTCCGACTCCCGGGAGTACAAGCTGATGCAAGTGAGTGCCAGGGTCCCCTCCCTGCCCTTTCGCGTCTGGGCCTGGAAGTGGGTGGCTGGGAGCCAGGGCAGGGAGCCTGGAGGCGGGGCTGCAGTTAGTATGATCACTGAGATTTGTGTAGTGGTTCTCAAGGGTTTTTTGTTTTTATTGTGTTTTTCTCTTCTGCCGTTTGGGTCTCTGTTGTTTAGATGAGACCAGAGGCAGGCAGCGATGGAGCTAGTAGGGGCTGAGCTGGGACACCCGCGCGCGTGCGCGCACCCCCTTCCCCCCGCCCCCCGACCTGTGTGCTTGAGCTTGCAGGTCACTTCCGACCCTGGCAGGATGGAACACAGCCTTTCCTCCCCTCCCCGCGGGGGTGCCCGGTTCTCCCCGACCCCGACGGTGTGCGCGTGGGTGTAGCCCAGGCCTTGTCACAGGCCAGCCGCAGACCCCTGCCTGCTGTTTTCTTACAGAAATTGCTAGAAGCCCACGAAGAGCAGAATGTGGACAGCTACACCGAGGCGGTGAGTGGCTGGCAGGGGGCTGCCCTCCTCAGACACGCTCTGCTGTGAATCTCACCCTTTCCCCTCTGGCCTTGGCCCCCGGCTGTGGGTTCCTTTCTCCAGGTCACCCCCGAACCCTCACATGGGGCCCCAAGGAGTGCAGGGAATGCTCTCCGCGTTGCAGAGGTGCTGGCGCTGAGGCCGAGGATGGTGAGGGGACTTGGCCTTGGCGCCTCGTGGGCAGAGCTGGGTTCGGTCCCACTTCTGTCCCCTGGCTGAGCAGCCGAGGGCCACCTCTCATCTGGCCCTTTGGGTGACCCAGAGGAGCAGAGAAGGAAGTGAGCGGGCGTCATCCTCCCCTGCTGAGGGGGGATGGGCAGGCCTGTCCTTTCAGCAGCAGAGTCCCTCACATCTCTGCACCACAGATGTTTCCAAACATTCTGGAACTTGCTTGTGTCCCACTCAGGACCTGATCGGGTCCTCATGGCTGGGCACCTGCCGCTCAGGCACTGTAGGCCCCTAGTGAGGACAGACCAGCTTGCTCTGGTCCCTTCTGCTTCTGCCCCCAGCAGTGGCAGGAAATCAGGAAGCTCCACTTGGAGAAGTGGGGGCAGGAAGGGCATGCGCTCTCTCCAGCCTGCCAGCTCCCAGCGCCACTCGGGACCGGCCTTGGTCACATCTCCAGGCCTCAGTTTCCCACCCATAAAACAAGTAAACTGGACCCCTTTTCTTAAGCTACAAAATCTGTTTTTCTTCCTGAAAGGAGGAAGCTTTATGCCCAGGTTAGTAAGGGCACAAGAGGGAGCCGCCGGCCTGCTGCCCCCCTCGCTTGGCTCCCGGCCCCCACGGCTGGCCGGCGCACATCTAGAGGATCGTGGGGCCAGAGAGCTTAGGCCCCAGGGCTGGGGCAGGGAGGGAGCCGGGGACAGGTGCAGGGCTGGCCGTCTGTCAGCGAAATGACCGTTGCCCTGCGCCACAGGTGAAGGAGTACGACTCCATCTCCCGGCTGGACCAGTGGCTGACCACCATGCTGCTGCGCATCAAGAAGACCATCCAGGGCGACGGGGAGGACTTGCGCTAAGCCCCACCCAGCCCCCGGTGCCTGTCTTCCTGCACCTCTGCTCTCCCCTGCAGCCCCTCCAGCACCAACACAGCGTGAGCCCAGAGAGACGTGGCCCAGGACCTTGGCTGGGACCTTCCCTCCTTCCCCCCCAGGCGTCTCACAGGCCAAGTGCAGGCTCCGCACTGTTGCGCGGCTCCTGAGGCCCAGCCTGCTAGCTGTGGACAGTCACCCTCTGTGCTCGATGCACCCTTCCCCATGCCCATTTATTTAAGCCCCAAAGACATCGTATTCGACCCCAAAATACAAAATCTGTGATACAGACCTGTTTGCTGTGGGTGCCGCCCTGGAGGGTAGGGGTGGGGCGGTCAGCATCTGAGCCCCGTCTCCTGACCCCTGAGGCGTGAGGTTGGTGTCCATCTCCCCACCTCTGTTCCCCCGCCGAGCTCGGAGCACATGGAGCTGCTGAGGTTGCTCTCGCCGCTGGGAGTGGGCCCCTTCTCCCCACACCTCCTGCAGCCCCGCCCTCCTGGGAGAGACCCCAGGCCCTGGAGCTCGGGTCATCCTGCACCCACCCCACATCTGCTCCTGTCCTCGTGCTTTGAGGTTTGGTCGGTCGGAAGCTGTAGCTGGCCCCAAGAAGAGAATAAAAACCAGTACTTTTGCATGAGTCCTACCTCTTTACCTCTGCTACTCCCTTCTTCCTTTGGGGCTGGAGTCCTGTCTTCCTGCCCTTCCTGGTCCCCCACTGGGCTCTGGCCATGCCGTGTGGAAAGAGGAGGGCATCTTCACCTGTGGCCTCGGCTTCAGCTGCGTCGGGGTGGCAGCCGGTGAGGGGGGGCGGGAGAGGCCCCATGAATCTCCAGCCTCGCCCGCGTCCACAGTGCCCTGGAGGGAGTGCTGCACGCTGCAGTGGCGCCTCTTCCATGTGTTGCGGGGTCAGGGGCAGAGCAGCTTTGGTGGCAGAGCAGAGGACTGAGTGGGCATGGGGAGTGGGAGAGACGATGACAGAATCCCTTTGTCCTGGAAAGGTGGGCAAGGGCCACCCACTCCACGCTCCATCGTGTGGGCCCGTGAGTCAGGTGAACTGTCAGATGTGCATGTGCTTCCACCTCGGTGGGGGCAGCTGGAGGAGGCTCCGGGCTGGAGGCAGGCGGTGTCGCAGCCTGAGGGGGCAGCCTCGGGGGGAGAGCAGGGCAGGAATGGTGCAGCGGAGCAACCGCCTGGAAACCAGGCAAGGCTCCAACAGGCGTTCCAGCCTGGAGCTGGGCTGGAGTTCTGGAGCGGTCGCCATGTCAGAGTAGCCTGTGTGACCCCCAGCCCTGCTGCACCACCAAACCCCCGCCCGCCCCGTCCCCCCCGCCCCCCCGCCTTCTGCTCCCTGTCGATTGATAATGGCTGCCTCAAGCTCAGCTGAGACTCCTGGGTCCTGAGGTGGATTACTGATGTGTGCCATGGGCGCAGGCTGAAGAACGGTTTAAGAATCTGCCATTTGTGGCTGAAAGTTAATTCTCAGCATTAGCTGTGCTTGAAATCATTAAAATTGCTCAAATTTGGCCCTGGCAAGGTAGCTCAGTGGGTTAGAGCATCGTCCCTGTACTCCAAGGATGCGGGTTTGATCCCCAGTCAGGGCATGTACAAGAATCAATGAATGCATGAATGGGTGGCACAACAGACCCATGTTTCTCTTCTTTGAAGTAAATGGACTAAAAAATTTTAAAGTACCCAGGCTCATGTCGCACCGTGATAACTGGTTTGGCTGAGGTTCCCCACCCCTTTGGGGTTGTGCCCTAAAAGTTCCACAGGTGATCCAAATGTGCATCTAGGGTTAGAAACCGCTGAACAGGACAACTCTTTCCAACTGACACCTTCATTTACCCATTTGCTCAACAAATATTAAGTGAATTTAGTTAAGAGGTTACCACATGCGGTAGAGGCCTGCATAAAGTGTTCTTCAGGAGTGGCAGAACTAAGCCTCACGTTCTAGTCATTCCGTGTTGAAGAAGCACCTACTGTGTTGTGCCCTGGTCTAGACCCTGAGAATACAGCATTAACCATATAACCAGACCCGGCCCTCGAGGAGCTCTTACTCCTCAAATGCAGGAATCTAGAATTGACATTCCATCCAATCCGCCTTTGAGAGCTTTCCTTTTATGTCTTACGTAACAGTCTGGCAAAGGGCCTGGCTCACAGTGTGTGGATTTTCAACACATTTATTGAATGCTTGCTTTGTGTCAGGCATTGTAGGCCAGGTGCTAGGGATTTTACTGCCTTCATGGATCTCGCACCCTGTGTTCTTTATGCACGGGGCGAGGGGTTGGGAGGGGACCCGGAGACAGAACAGTTCGCCAATGCCGGAAACAATATACAGGTGTACAGAGTCCCCGTGCCCCTGATGCCATTCTAGGGACAAACACCCAGGAACCTCTGAAAAGCGGGAGTTAGAAGCACCGGGTTAAACATTTTATCCGCCACTTTCTAGCCCCAGTCAAGGGACTTACTCTCCCTGAGCCTCAATTTCACTCTCTATAAATTGGGCTAATAAATAAGACTGTGCAGGGACGTCGCAAGGGTTATTGAAGTTAATTTGGGAAGGCGCATAGCAAGTGTCCCATAAACGCTGAATAAAACGAATGCAGGGTAACCATAAGGGGTTATGAGGATTCAGTGGGATAATCAGGGCCAACATGAAAAAGCCGTTCAATAAAGGAGGAGGTTATCTATCAGGACAAATAGCTAGACCCTTTTTCCTTGGGGTAAGGAGAATACATTTCACCATTTTAAAAGTGATGTGATTAAAATAAACTATGGAGCTGCTTGTAAGGGTTTTAATACTGTTTCTTACTAGATGTGTGATCTTAGACAAGTTACTTCCTTCTCTGTGCCTCAATTCTTTCATCCATAAAACAGGTACTACCTCAGCCTGCTCGTGAGTTTTAAATAAATTGATAGATGGGAAGGGCTTGAACAGTTCCTGACACAATATTAAACTTCACGGGGGCGGGAAACCACACAGCGCGCAGGCGCATTGGGGCAGTCCCGTGGGAAGCCTGGCCCGGCCGGCTGGCGGCCATCTTGGTAAAGGGCAGCGACGGCAGCTTCCGTACGTCGTCTGCGTGACCAGTGGGCTCCGGGAGGTCCAGGTCGCTTAGGGAGCGGTGGCTGGGGCGAGGCAGGGCGGGCCGCGGCGGGGGCAGCAGGGGCGAGTAGTTGAGGTACGTGATGGGGGAGGCGGCGATGGCCGCGGAGCCTTGCCCGCTGCGCGAGGATAGCTTCACGCGCTTCTCGTCGCAGAGCAACGTGTACGGGCTGGCGGGCGGTGCGGGCGGGCGCGGGGAGCTGCTGGCCGCCACCCTTAAAGGCAAGGTGCTGGGCTTCCGCTACCAAGACCTCCGACAGAAAATCCGGCCTGTGGCCAAGGAGCTGCAGTTCAATTACATACCCGGTGCGTGGCGCTCTGGCGTCGAGGGGCCGGGAAAGTGGTGTTGAGAAGGCGTCTGAGGCTGTTGTCTGAGCTTCATTGATGGGCAAATGGGACCAGGGTGATTGAAGGGGGTCAAAGCGGGTAATCAGGAGACTTTAGCCTCAGAGCGCAGGGTTAACAGGGGCCGGGAAGTGGTTAGGTTCAGGATCCCTCCTACCACGGAGATGGCGATCAGGGCTCACTGGAATTTGGAAGTCACGGTAATTGCAGTGGTTAAAAGTTACTGAGTCCGTGATTGGGGGTATTGTGGTCCTAAGTCTGCCCGAAACTCGAACTTTGAACTGTCCCCTCCCAGTGGATGCCGAAATTGTCTCCATCGACACCTTCAACAAGTCGCCCCCAAAGCGGGGCCTGGTGGTGGGGATCACGTTCATCAAGGTACGCAGCGTCCCCGCCACCTACCTGTTCCCTCCTCACACGTGTGGTGGATCCTACTGAGTCTGACCCAAGTCCCCTCTGTCCCCCAGGATTCAGGAGACAAAGGGAGCCCCTTCCTTAACATTTACTGTGACTACGAGCCTGGCTCTGAGTACAACCTTGATTCCATTGCCCGTGAGTGTGGCCTGGAGGGATGGAGAAGGCGGGACGGGGGCCCGTGAGGTCCGGGTGCCCACCTGCCTTTGCCCCCTGCAGAAAGCTGCCTGAACCTGGAGCTGCGGTTCACCCCTTTCCAGCTGTGCCACGCAGAGTAAGTGAGCCGCAGAGTAAGTGAGCCGCGCCCCCAAAACGCTGGGAGGGGTGTGCCTGCGGGGGCGGGGCTGTAGCAAACCGACCACAGACCTGCCCGCAGACCCTCAGGTTCTAGTTTTGTTTCTTCAGAGCATCCTGCGTTTAAGGTGTCTGTAGACCAGGCTTGACTGATGGGCTGTCGTTTTGTTATCCCCAAACTAGATAATCGGAGAGTTAATTGAGCACCTATGTTCTAGGCATCTCGAATTCTCAGGTTCTTCTGTTCTGGGTTTGGACATCCCAAGAACTGGAAGTGGTATTTTCTAGAGTCGCAAGCTCTGAGATTCCAAGATCTGAAAGTTCTACAGTTTAATCATTTGGAGTTTCTGTCACAATGAAGTCCTAACAGTGTCACATTTTAAGGAGCTACAATACGGAACATCCAGAACACTGAGGTTCCAGCATCCAAGAGTATCAGAATTCCTTTCTAGAGCGCTGGCTTCCATCCTAGAACACCAAAGGTCTAGCATGGGTGTTGGCACACTTTTTCCCTAAAGGCTCAGATGATAAAACTATTAGGCTTTTGAGGGCCAGGCAGTCTCTGTCACCACTGCTGATCTGCCATTGTAGCAAGAAGGCAGCGATTGACTAGATGAATGGGCACGGCTGTGTTTCAGTAAAACATCTATAAACACAGATGGTGGGTTGGATTTGGCCTGTGGGCTCTTAGTTTGCCAGCCTCTGGTCTGGAGGTGAGAATTCCAGACACTGCTGTTTTGGATTCTAGCATTCGGATAATCTACTCTTCTGAGTCGGAATATCCTTAAGTGGCAGTTTCTGAGTGTTCTGGTATTTTAAAGGAGACAGAAAACAGGACTAGAACACTGGAGTTCTAGATACAGAGGTTCTAGTGTCCTGGGCTTTGGCAACGCTTTCTAGAGCTCTGCGTTCCACTCCCGAATCGCATCCAGGACAACGGTTGTAGCAAATGAGGGCTCTCGAAACGGAAGGTTCTAGCATGCAGACTTTCTATCCAATTCTGCATCCTGAGATCCTAGCCTTGGTTCCAGTGGCTGGATCCATCCCAGGATGCCAGGGCTCTTGCAGGTGGGGGACTCTGCAAGAGGGTTTTACGAACAAACTCGACCACACTCAGGCTCTGCCGCACTGAGGGCCTAGATCTCTCTGCTTCCAGGGTCCAGGTCGGGGGTCACCTGGAGACCGTGTTTCTCCTGAGCGGGAACGACCCAGCCATTCATCTCTACAAGGAGGTGAGGCAGGGGAGGCGTGGTGGGCACAGCTTCCCCGGGCCCTCATGGGCTGGCCGCTGACTCCTGGTGGGGGTTGGGTCTTGGTTCCCCCAGAACGAGGGGCTCCATCAGTTTGAGGAACAGCCTGTGGAAAACCTCTTCCCAGAACTCACGGACCTGACCAGTAGGTAGGAGAGTCCCCAAAAGCGGCCAGACGGGACCGGGGCTGGTGGGCGCCGAGCCATCGGGGGCGGGAGTTGACCCCTAGAGAAAGCGGGCAGTGGGGAGTCCCTCAGAGAGATCAGACAGCAGCGGGGTCTCAGGGCTACAGGGCGGGGCGGATGCTCCTGGGGACGTCGACTGTGGCGCTGGGGCCCATTGGTGGCCTGCAGCCCCTCTCTCTGCCCTCTCACCCTACAGCGTCCTCTGGCTCGACGTCCACAACCTCCCCGGCACGTCCCGGCGGCTCTCAGCGCTCGGCTGTCAGAGTGGTTACGTCCGCGTGGCCCACGTGGACCAGCGGAGCCGAGGTGTGGGCAGGGCACGGGGCCAGTGTGGGGCCGGGCTGGGCAGCGAGGGCCGGGGCAGGGCCCTGAGCACTTGCCCTCCACGCAGAGGTTTTGCAGACATGGACGGTCCTGCAGGATGGCCCCATCTCCCGGGTGATCGTGTTTAGCCTCTCGGCTCCCAAGGGTGAGCTCTGGACGCGCGGGCAGCTCTGCAGGCCTGGCCACTCCTTACCCGTGTTTGTACCCAGCTCCGGCCGCGCTCTGACCCCGGCTTCCCTTGAGGACTCGCGCTGCCCCACCACCCACCGCCCCCGCGTGCCCCGTGTGTCGCTGTCTCCATCCTACCGTGGCCTGCCCTCCAGTGGAGCCTGCCTCGGCCTGGCCCCTGCACTCGGCCCCCTGCCCCCGAGGCTGACGTCTCTCCCTCTTCCTCCCGCTGCCATTCCCACTCTGGCCTAACCCTGGACTTGCCTGCTGTCCCCAACTTTTGTCTCCCCCGCTGTCGTGGCCTAGCCTCAGACCTTCTCTGCTGTCCTCTAATGCCAGCCGACCCCCGCCCGTGTCTGACCCCAGTCACTCTCTCACGGTCTAACCTCTGCAGCACAACCCCTGTCGCATGTCGCTCAGCACGTTCCTCACTGAGGGGAGGGAGGTGTGAGGAGGAGCCTGGAACCTGTCCCCTCAGACCTGCCCGCCCCCTTCACGTTCTTTCTCCAGAGGCCCAGGACAGGCCGCCGCGGGAGGAGTACGGCGTGCTCGTGGCCAGCATGCTGGAGCCGGCCGTGGTGTACCGGTGAGGGGCCGTCTGACCTCGCGCCTTTGCCCTGGGGTCTAACCTTGGCCTTCTCGGCAGAAAGCCCCTTCGGGGGAGGCCGTTCAGGGCCGGGAAAGTGAAAGTGTCCAGGGAGGGGGTGCGGGTGTTTAAGTCTAGAACTCGTTGGAGGGGCTGTGGAGGCCTTGGAATGGGTCCTGAGATGACCACTGTCCCTGGAGGGGGGACAGAGCGTGCTGCCCAGCGTGTCACAGCCTCCTCTGTGTGAGAAGAGCTGGATTTGCGGCCGTCGCCACTTTCCGTGGGGTAAATGCTCCCACCGCGGCCGACTCCAGGTTGAAGCCAGCAGGCTTGCAGACTTCTCGCGATTCCCCAGTCAGCCCTGCTGAGCCAGCGCGCGGCAGCTGGGGCACGGCTGGTGGGCCGCGAGGATGTCCCGGTGGGGGCCAAGCTCCCCAGGCTCCACGGGGACAGTGCGGGGGTCCGCACCCCCAAGGGAACCATACAGGGTTCCATTTGAGAGTGACATGGTCCCACCTCCAGGGGCCAGTGTGGGCTCCACATGGGGAGTAGGAGACAGGGACACTCTGAGTAACGGGTCTGTGTTCCCCGCGGTGGAGATGAAGGGGACCAGATGGGGGTGCGGGGTCCGGCGTCCACAGGTGTGTCTCGACTCGAAGTGGAGCAGGGTGGGCGCCCAGCCGGGCATCCGGTGCTAAGGGCGGCAGGTGCTGCAGTCTGACCTCAGCCTACCCCCACGGCGGCGACCCTCAGGGACCTGCTGAACCGGGGCCTGGAGGACCAGCTTCTCCTGCCTGGCAGTGACCAGTTTGACAGCGTCCTCTGTGGCCTGGTCACCGATATCGATTTGGACGGGCAGCCAGAAGTCCTGGTGGCCACCTACGGACAGGTAGGTCCTGAGGGAGGGCCGATGGCTGCCTGTCCCCTCCGCTGCCCCACTCGCCCACATGACCTCGGCCCCTCGCCCCGCAGGAGCTGCTCTGCTACAAGTACTGCGGCCCCGAGGCCGGACCCGCCGAGGCCGGGCCTGGGTTCCGCCTGCTGTGGCGAAGGAGCTTCCCCAGCCCGCTGCTGGCCATGGCGCACGTGGACCTGACCGGGGACGGGCTGCAGGAGCTCGCCGTGGTCTCCCTGAAGGGCGTGCACATCCTGCAGGTGGCCGGGGCCCTCGGGTTGGGTCACTCAGAGCAGAGCCCGGGATGGGGCTTTTGCACACTTGCTTGGCTGAGGGCGTGTTCTATGGGGCGGGGGGGGGCTGTCCCCGTCTTCAGACAAGGGGGCTGGCTGCCTGGCCCTGCAGCAGGTGGGAGCGGTCTCTTCCTGGGAGGCGGCTCCCGGGAGGGGGCCCGCGGGGAGCACTCTCAGCGGGGGTGAGCCGGAGTCCGATGCAGCACCTGTTGCCCCAGCACCCCTCAGCCTCCCTTAACCTTTGTCCTTCGTTCCTCATGCTCTGTCTACCTCTGTCCCTCTCTTCTGGCCTGGCTTGGATCTGTCCCTGCGGTCTAACCGCCATCCTTCCATGTGCCCTCCATCACAGGGCGACTTGCCCTCCCTCTGCCCCCGCCTGCCGCCTGTGTGCCCAGCTTCACACTGGCTGTGGTCTAACAACAGCAGCTGTTAGAGTTTCTGACCCAAGTCCCCCTTCCTGCCCTCCCCAGCCCTCCCCACAGGGCAGCCTCAGCCCCTCTTCCTGGGCCAGCCTCTCGCTTTCTGCCGTGGGCGACCTCAGACCCTTCCGTAGTCCGGCCTCCAAACGTCCTATCACGGTCAAGCCTGTGACCAGTGGTCTCCTGTCCCGCTTTCCGCTGCATTAGGACCTCTGACCCTGCCGTGGCAGCCTGACTGCTGTGGCCCCTGACCTCTGACCCTGCCGTGGCAGCCTGACTGCTGTGGCCCCTGACCTCTGACCCTGCCGTGGCAGCCCGACTGCCGTGGCTCCTGTCACAGCCTCGCAGCCAGCCGTTCCAGTGGTCCAGGCTCCAACCTGGAAGCCTCCATTGCCGTTTCACCTCCAACCAATGTAGTCTGACCTCTGACCTTTGCCCCGTGCCCCAGCCTCCATCTCTTAGGCCATGGTGAACATTTGTTTCCTAAGGCAATGTTTGCTTCTCCTTCCCTCTGGTCAGAGTCCAGGGCCCTTTCCCGACGGGTCTGACCGGGGTTCTTTTTGCTGGAGCCCGACCTCGCTGCCTCCTCTGAGGCTTTGCTGGGGCTGGTCCATGGTCTGTGCCCCAGCCATGACCTAGGTCAGACCTCGGGAGAAAAGACGCAGATTGGAACCCCCGGGAAAGGTCTGAGCTGAACGGCAGCAGATGAGGCAGGTCGGACCTGCGGGGAGCGGAGCGAGGGCCGAGGCCGGTCGGCGGTGGGAGGGAGGGCTCCCCCTCACTGCGCCGCACCCACCCCATCCGTGGTCCGTGCTGTGGTCGCTTTCAGGCCATTCCCCTGGGATGGCCTCTGTCGCTTCGATGAGGGTCTCGCCTCAGACTCTGACCAGGCTCTGACTCTGCGCCCCATCGGGGGACGCGTGCCGCTCTTTTCCACTTTGGCTCGCGCCACCTCTGTCCCCTTGGCCCGTCCTTTCCTGCCGCGGTGTCGCCGGTGCCTCTGCCCCGTGGTCTGACCTCAGCCTCGCTCCCCGCCGTGCCCCCTCCCGTAACAGGTCACTCACACTCGGCCGTCCCCTCCTACCCCTTCCCCCAGGTTCTGGCCTCAGACCCGGGGCCGTGGCTTTGTCCCTCCTGTGGGGCGTTCACGGAAGGCCGCCCCCTGGGCCTGACCTTCGCCCACCGGAGCCCCTAACCCACCTGCACACTGTGGCCTGCTCTCCCAGCCCCCCTTGGGGGTCGTCTAACCCGCACCCCGCAGCTCTCAGCCCCGCCCTCCTCCCCTCGTGTCCCCACAGCACAGCTTGATCCAGGCCTCCCGGCTGGTCCTGATGCGGCTTCGGCACCAAGTGGAGCAGAGGAGACGTCAGCCACGGAGGCTGGGCGACAAGGCGGGCCCGGGGCCTGCTGGGACATAGGCCTCCTGAGCACCACCCGCTGCCCCCCGTTGGGGTACCCACCTGCAACGCCTCCTGGAGTAGGAAGGGTCCTGAAGGAGGAAATGGCCTGCCCAGGCCCCCCAGGGAGCCGGGGCTGCGGGTTCCTGCACGGCCCTGCCCCGGCTGCCCGGCGACCTCGCCTGACGCTCTCCTCCGGGCCTCAGGGTCCCACTTGAAATTGGCGTGGTCTCACCCACCCCCCTCCTGCTCAAGGTGAGAATCGACCGGCCGCCGATGATTTTTATGCCCAAAGGAACTGAACTTTCCATTGTCTTTATCGTTCTGTTCAGCAAGCGTTGGACGAGAGCCTGGCACCCTGGGCTGGGTGCTGGGCTCGCCCAGAAGAGGGAGGGGCAGGAGGTGAGGGAGAGAGGGTCTGAGGATAGACCCGAGGCAGGACCAAGCAGGGTCCAGAGCCCAGGCCCCAGAGGAAAGAAATGGCCCTCAGCCCCAGCAGAACGGCCGCGTGAAAGTGCAGTGTAGGGAGCAGGCCGCAAGGAAAGGCCTGAGGTTAGACCCCGGGGGGAGCTCGGACCTGAGATTAGGGCCCAGTGGGCAGACAAGGAAATCGGCCTCAGAGGAAAGGATGGGGGTGGAAGGGACCCCTGAGGAGGCAGAGGGCCTGAGGCCCGGCCCCTGGGAAGGATGTGGAGGTAGGACCCGGCAAAATTTCTGTCGTTAGACCCCAGTGCCAGCCCCCGGCGGTGCTGAGGCGTGGCCCAGGGCGCACTGTGCCGTGAAGGGCCAGCCGTCCTGGGTGAGGGCCAGAGCGCTGGAGACAGGCCGGTGGCTGCAGCCCGCGGCTATAGGAGCCGCTCTGCTCTGTGGCTCCAGGAGAAGGGGGCCAAGGCCTACATCTCGGGGACCAGGGAGGACCAGGGTGGCGGACGAAGTTCCGCCCTCCCCCACCAGAGCCCAGGAATAGAATCCAGGTCAGGAGGGTCCAGGAGTAATTCCTGAGCAGGATCCAAGCCGGCGGGGAGGGTGGGCTCCTCCCCCCCTCATCCCCCCAACCCCGGGCTGGAGGTTGGGTGGGATGCTGCTTCCTGAGGGAGAGGCCACCCTGGCCACCTGCCTCCTCCCGCGGAAGTCCGCCCATTGGTCCGCCCCCGAAGGTGGCGGCGGCGGCTGAGCCGCCAGCTCCCCACAGTGGGTTGTAGCCGGAGGCCCGCCGATCCTCAGCAACCCTGTCTCCACATCTCCCAGAACCCAGGCCCGGGTGTGGGAAGTGGCAGGGAGCAGACCCCCCTCCGCACGAGCAGGGTCTCCTCCGGCTGCCCGCCTGCTCCCCTGCCTGTCCTTCGTCCTGGGCAGGAGAGGGGGCCGAGGGCTCTGGGTGACAGGGCCTGTGAAGCGTGCACACCCGAGGAGGGGCGTGTCAGGTGTGTGTCCACGTCAGGGCTCTTGAATTTGTCTTCCAAGAGCGTGGGCCACCGCCCTGGCCGGGGCGGCTCAGTGGACTGAGCGCCAGCCTGTGAACAGAAAGGTCGCCAGTGCGATTCCCTTGGGTTGCCAACCGGGTCTGCAGATGGGGACAAACGGGGGGGCAACCAACCTATGTTTTTCTCACACATGGATGTTTCTGTCTTCCTCTCTATAAATAAATAAAAATAAAATCTTCAAAAAAAACCAAAACCGTCTGGGCCACCCACCTGGTCCTTGGCAGCTCGCTTCCTGCCTTCCTGCCGGGTCCTTGGCCCCAGAGAGCGCGGGGCGGAGCGGCGGAGCCTGGCCCTGGCCCGTGGGGCGTGGTTGGAGCATCGTCCTGTCACTGAAGGGTGGCCGGTTCCCAGTCAGGGCACGTGCCTGGGTTGTGGGTTCAATCCCCAGTCCAGGTCGATGTTTCTCTCCCTTTCTCTTCCTCTCCTAAAAGCAGTCCTCAGGGGAGGATTAAAAAAAATGGCAGTAGTCACAGGGGTGTGCCGCCCGCGGGCCGCGTGCAGCCCAGGGCAGCTGTGAACGTGGCCCAACACCAAATGGTAAATTTACTGAAAACATCAGGAGAGGTTTTTTCGTGATTACGTGTCACAATATATTTAATGTGTGGCCCAGGACAAGTCTCCCGGTGTGGCCCAGAGACGCCTAAAGATTGGGCACCCCTGGTAGAGCCTGAAGCCACATGTCACTCCGTGCCTCAGTTTCCCCATCTGTAATATAAGGCTAATAGCACCTACTTCACAGCTTGGTATGAGGGTTGGTTGTATCAACATGTGTCAAGTGCTTATTTAAAAAAATTGTATAACAATGCCTGACACGTGGTAAAAGCCGTTTGAATGGCAACTGTTGTTATGATTATTAACGGGCGCCTCTGTGGTGGTTGCCGGCCAGCCTGAGGGTGGGTCTGCAGGCACAGCGTGTGAATTTGGATCCGACTGGCTAAACATTCTTGTCCTCCGCCCAGCTCTGTGCGCCTTCAACTATTTGCAGCTCTTTTTGCATCTTTGGCCCTTATATGGATCCAAGACTGCGTGTGTGTTGGGGATGGGGGCGGAGGACGCCTCTGAATGACCCCCCACATCCCCCCCAAAAACAGACGGAGAGCGCCCTCCGCCGCTGTCCCTGCTGGTGGTGCTGAAGCCGGTGGGTGGGTGGGTGGGAGGCTGGGGCCACCTCCTCCCGCAGAGGCGCCTCCCCAAGCCTCCCGCCTCCAGCTGCCTCCCTCTCCCCGCCTCTTTCTCCTCCCTCTCTCCACCGCTCCTCCTCCCTCACTGCCAGCCCCCCCTCCCCCAGGCCCTCCCCCCCTCCTCCCGCGGTCCCCTTCCCTCCCCTCTCCCGGCTCTCCCTCTCAGTCTCCTGCTCCTCTCTCTCTCCCTCTCCCTCTCTCCCTCTCTTTCTTTCTGTCTCTGTCTCTCTCTTTCGGGCAGAGTCACCCACCACTGCCCGCCCGGTGCTGGGGGGACCTTTCCCAGGCGGTAGCTGCAGGTAAGAGACCCTCAGTTAGGTGGGGGCTTGGAGGGAACCACAGTGTCACCCCAGGCTGGTGGAGGGGGGCGTTTGTGGAGCCCGGAGCCGCTTTTCCCTGAACTCATTCATGGCGGGTGGGGGGCTGCATATTCCAGGTGGGGGATACCAGCGCCCTTCGGTGGGGTGGGGGCCCCACCAGCAACCGACGTCTCATGCCTCCTGCGTTCCAGGGAGCGTGGCGGGCTGGGGAGGGGGTGCCCCTCTCGGGCGCCAAGGGGGCGAGAGCATCCCACGCCATCTGGGGAAGCCCCCCCCCCCCCCGCCCCAGCCCCCACCTCTGGTGCGCTCCACCTCCACCCTCCGCTTCCCGTGTCTGGGTCTCCTCTTCAGCGGCACGTCTCCTAGGGGTCCCTGTCCGGCGGAGTCCGCCCGTCTCTCCGAGTTCCGCTCCCCTTCCCCTCCCCGTGCCTCCCCGTGCCGGGTCGTTCTGTGCCTTCCCGGCGCTCCGTCTCTATATAAGTCCTTGTTTCTCTCCGCCTTCCCCTCTCGCCATCTCTGTGTGTTCCCACTGTCTCAGCTTTCCTGTGTCTCTCTCTGTCCCCACGTCAGAGCGTGTGTCTTCCTCTGTCTTCCTTGCCCCTGCCCCTCTCCCGCTGTCTCTTAGTGTCTGGTCTCTGCCTTGCTCTTCCTCCTCTCCTCTTCCTCTCCCCAGGAGCACATTAACTCTCCTGCACACCTTTGTCCCCACCCCTGGCAGGGGGAGACCTGGGGGAACAAGATCCGCCCTGCCCAGTGGACTCCCCCCAGAAGGTGCGGAGTCCCCGAACTCCTCTCCCTTCTTCAGACGAGCTCCCTCCCATCCACCCAGCCAGCGCCACCGTCCCTCCCCGGAAGACCGAGCTCCGTCCTCCCGGCTGGTGTCTGGCATTCTGAGGCCAGTCCTTGCTTCTAACTGGTGCCCTTTGTAGTACAGGCTGGGCTAGCCCTTTCTCCCCTCTGACCTCCCCATTTCCTCCTCACACGGAGTGTCCGGTCCTGCCTGCAGTCTAACTTCCACACCTCTTGCTGTTTGTCCATCATGACTCATTCAGCCTCTTGACAATTTCTGAGCACCTTCCCTACTCCAGGCACAGCACTAGGTCCCAGGCCAGCCCCTTCTGTCACCTCACTTCCATCCCACTCATGGTGTGTCCACTTCAGACCTGTCTCCTTATGGAAATGGATCTCAAAAGCTTCTCCACCACCCATTGGTGGCTCCAAGAGGGCCCTTCTGAGTCTAGAGGTCCCTGGCCAATACATCCTGTTCTTTCCTGGAGGGAAGGGGGCCCTCAGGGAAGGTGGGTGACAGTGAGTGACAAGGGGAGAGGTGTGCACCTGAGTCCGCAGCCCACGCTGCGATGGCGTGAGTCCTCAGGTGCCCACTTGGGGCTCCCAATGGGTTAAAAAGGGCGCCAGCTTAGGAGTTCCACGAGCTGAGTTTCCGTCCGCTCTGCCCCTGACTTGAAGCTGTGTGGCTTGGCCAAGGGCTTTCCCCTCCTGGACTTCAGTGCACCCATCCGGCGTATCAAAGCACCGGGATTGTGTGTGTGCGTGTTTGTGTGTGTGCATGTGTTCGTGTGGGGGGGGGGTGTCCCCCAGCTGGGACCCTGCATGGCTCACCCCGGAGCAGTAAGCGTGCACGTCCAGAAGCCTGGGTCCCCACCTCCCACATTCGTTCCAGGGGCAGCTGGCAGCCCCTGCGCCCTCCGCAAGCACACCCTTCCCTCCTGCCAGACTGGAGCCCCCCTTGAGCTTGCAGTCCCACCCTCCTGATGACCCAGCTGGCCACCAGCCCACCGGAGAGCGTTGGCCCCGGGGGACAGCGTCAGCCATCTGCCCGCCGGGCTCCCACCCTGGCCTCAACCCGATCCTTTTGCCCCCGGATTCTCGACCCAGATCAGGTTTCCGAGCTGCCGGTGGACGGAGAGAGGCGAGGCAGGAGCCTCGAGGAGGGGGAGCCCAGCTGTCCCCGGTGACAGGGCTCGGACCTCTTGCTTGTTCATTTCACAAATATTTATCTTGTGCTTTCTCTCTTCCCCTCAGGCCTCAGGGAGGGGAAGCCGGGTTTTTGAGGAAGAGGGAAGGAACCAGGGTGCTTTGTCCGGCCCCTGGACAAGGAGAGCAGGCATGATGGCCGCGGCCAAACCTGCCCCCCCCCCCAGAGCTGCAGAGGAAGGGGCAGCTGCTTAGACCAGAGGGGGGACTTCGCAGGCGGGCCACGGCCCTTCCACGAGGGAGGGAGTTAGATGCTTTAGATGGATGCTTGACTCCCAGGTGGCCCTTGTTCCTCCCGAAAGCTGGGGAGGAGGGAGGGAGAAGAGCATGAGTCTTCGCTTTGGATCCTGGTGGGTTTGTAATTATGCCTAAGTCGTTGCTAATTAGGGGGCTGCTAATTAGACGTATCATTAGGGGACTTGCCGATGAGGGCTAATTGTGTAGTGGCCCTTTAAGAATCACCCCTCTTCCCGCCTACACACACACACACACACACACACACACACACACACACACACACAGCTTCGGAGGTTCTGCCAACAGGCTGCCTCCCTCTCTCCAGGAGGAGCCAGCCAGCTCCCAGCCCGGGAGTACGTGAGTAGGTGGGTGTGTGTTGGGAGCAGGCTGTGGGCTAGACTCCGAGGAGAACTTTTTTCAGAGAGAAATGGAAGGTGCTGAGAGAAATGAGGCTGGTGGCCGAGAGAGAGGGGTCAGGGTTGGTGGAGGCCAGGAGGGCCTCTCCCTTCCTCTCTCAGTTCTCTTTTTTTATAGTCCACTGGGTTACCATGGCAACGCAAGGCGGGGTGGGGGGCAGTGCGGTGCAGGGCTGAGGAGCTGAAAATCAGGGCCACTCTTGGAGAGAGAAATCGGGAGCCAGAGAGCTGCTGCTGGGAGACTTTGGACCAGTTGTTTAACCTGGCTGAGCCTTGGTCCTCTCATCGGTGAAATGGCTGGGGACTCCCCCTAGGGGGCTGGTATCCTTTTGAATGGAATGGGCAGGGCAGGCAACATCTGAGTGGAGACCTTAAGCGGGAGAGGGAGTGGCTTTGTAGGGAAGGGAGTCTGAGGAATGGGAACATCAGGTGCAAAGTTCCTGAGGCAAGAACTTCTCCGGTGTGCCGGTGTGCCGGAGGACCAGCGAGGAGGGAGTGTAGCTGGGGTTCAGTGAGCGAGAAGGGAGAGACAAGGCCAGAGGCGGAGTGGGAGCCAGATCGCGCGAGATCTGGGGAGCCAGGCAGTGGGCCTTGGTACTCTGGGCGAGGAGGGAGCCAGGGAGGCTGCTGAGCAGAGGAGAGATGCAAACTGATTTGCACCTTTAAAGGAAACCTAGGGAAGACAGAAATAGCCACTCGAACCCAGGACCAGAGGCAAGAAGAGAAATATTAAAACAGTAGAGGCCCCACACCCACAAACGGGACATAAAACCCAAAACAGCATTCACGTGTCCCAGCTGCTAAGGGATTCCGTACCTTACTGAGACTGGGGGTCCGGGAGAGACACGCCTGCCCCCATTGCCGGGAAGGACGTGCGACAGGCCCTGTAGCGGCCCCTCCCCAGCCCCTCCTGAGACAGACACACAGACGCCCCAGCCCCCTCCACGTTCCAGATTCCAAGCAGGAGCA